TTCATCACAATAAGGAAGTAAAGTCTGGTGACATGATGCTGGCCACGATTGCAGCAAAGGTCCAATAAGAAGGGAAATAAGTGCAGTTGTAGAGTGAGTAATGACTCCCTTTTTAATTAAGCGTATTATCACACCTCATTTAACTCCAGTCATTAGCCAAGGGCATGTCTGAACACACTGTAGCTGGGTCTGGGTAAGCTTTTGGGTAGACGATCACATGCAAACAGCCGATAGCATGGACTTCTGTGTTATGGCCAAGAGATGGCAGCCCATAACTTACAATCTGGAGCCTCTCTCATTCTAGAAAATTAATGCAACAAGAAGCAAAACTCCAGACTCGCAGGGCTGAAAGGGACCTCAGCAGGTCCCCTGCTCAGGACAGGAGCATCCATATCGAAACCTGATCGTTCCAGTGTCTAACTTGGTATGAAAAAATTCTGAGGATGGAGAGGCCCTAACATCTCTAGATAGCGTCTCCCAGTACTTAACTGCCCTCATAGTGATTAAGTTCTTCCCAAGATCCAATTTCAATTTCCCTTGTTGCATTTTAGAGAATCACTGGGAACGAACAGTGCAAAAGAAAGGAAATAACTTGGTGTTAGCAAAAATAGTCTCTCTCTAGGATACAAGTGACAAACACTGGGCTGATTTAGTGTTCACTTCAACCAGTGTCAGTCCATGGTGTAAAACTGGTACAATTCAGATGCCCAGTGACCTCAGAAATGGCTGCAGTTTTGCCATTCAGAAACTAGTTCTTATTCCAGAGCAATGAGATGAGGACTGATGTGCTCCCAACTGACTGTTTTTTTTTTTTCCTGCTGTCCTGAGTAGTTTGTGCAGGCTGGTATTTTGTCCCCATGCTCCCTTGGTCAGCACTGCACAGCTCAGATGCTTCAAAGCAGTCTCACTGGCTCCACTCACCTGGCTGTTTGTGCTTTGAATCCAGGCTTAAATTAAACCAAGGCAGAACTAGATGCAGTGAAATGGAAGGCAGCTATTTAAACAAAAAACCCAACACCTCCCACAAGGAGATACAGCAGGAAATAAGACCACTTGGAGACCCCGCACTTTTTCCTAAAACCTTATGACCTCTATCCCAGGGAAGGTCTTAGAAAAGTTTATTAAAGAGGCCATCCTTAATGGACTGGCCGACGCCAACATCCTGAGGGATAGCCAGCATTGGTTTGTTGTGGGTCGGTCTTGCTTGACCAATTTAATTTCCTTTGACAACCAGGTGACCTATCACCTGCGCAAGGGAGAGGAGATTGATGTCATATATCTTGACTTCAAAAAAGCCTTCAATCTGGTCTCCCATGATCACCTCTTGGCAAAACTGGCCAATTGTGGCTTTGGGTCCACCATTATCCGCTGGCTGGGGAATTGGCTCAATGGTCCAACCCAGAGGTCAATCTTCATAGTGCCCTGTGACCAGTGGGGTCCCCCAGGCTCTGTCCTTGGACACATACTGTTCAACATCTTCATTAATGATGTGGACATTGGAGTCAGAAGTGGACTGGCGATGTTTGCCGACAGCACCAAACTTTGGGACAAAGCATCCACACCTGAGGACATGAGGGCGATCCAGGCTGACCTGAACAGGCTCAGCAAATAGGCGGATGAGAACCTGATGGTGTTTAACACTGAAAAATGCAAGGCTCTCCACCTTGGGAGGAAAAACCTGCAGCATCCCTATAGGCTCGGCAGTGCTACGCTGTCTAGCACTGTGGAAGAAAGAGACTTGGGGGTCATCATTGACCACAAGATGAACATGAGCCTTCAACGCAATTCTGCGGCTAATAAAGCAACAAAAATGCTGGCTTGCATCCATAGATGCTTCTCAAGCAAATCCTGGGACATCATTCTCCCCTTGTACTCGGCCTTGGTGAGGCCATAGCTGGAGTACTGTGTCCAGTTTTGGGCTCCACAATTCAAAAAGGATGTGGAGAAGCTAGAGAGAGTCCAGACGAGAGCCATGTGCATGATCTCAGGTCAGGAAAACAGACCGTATGATGAGAGCCTGAGAGCTATGGGGCTCTTCAGCCTGGAAAAGCACAGGCTCAGGGGTGATCTGATGGCCACCTATAAGTTTATAAAGAGTGCTCACCAGGATCTGGGGGAACGTTTGTTCACCAGAGCGCCCCAAGGGATGACGAGGTTGAACAGTTATAAACTACTGCAAGATCATTTCGGGCTGGACATAAGGAAGAATTTCTTTACTGTCCAAGCCCCCAAGGTCTGGAATAGCCTGTCATCGGAGGTGGTTCAAGCACCTACATTGAACACCTTCAAGAGAAAATTGGATGCTTATCTTGTTGGGATCCTATTACCCCAGCTGATTTCCTGCCCTTCAGCAGGGGACCGGACTCGACGATCTTCCAAGGTCCCTTCCTGCCCTAATGTCTATATAATCTATGAAACCCATCCAGCTCTCAGTGACCCTGCTATCAGCACTGAGAGGTTCCAGCCTAGCTCCACTGGCACAAATCTGGGGTTACTAAGAGCAGAAACTGGCCCTTTGCCTTGATTAAAAAACCTGTTTCTGGTGGCAAAGTGACCACACACAGACATCCATGCCCCTTGTCACACCACAAATACCCAAAACCTGTGGCTGCAACCATGGTAATGCCTCCCCAGGTTCCCACATTTGCAGAGCTCTGCCTTGGGGATTCCCAATCAGGGGAATCTCCTGGGGTATATTGCTCTGCTCAGCCCCAACCCACGGTACATCTCTGCCAACAAGCAGACCTGAGTTTTCCCTGCTTGCAGAGGCACAGACAGAGAGTCCAACTGGGGGCACATCTCTGCAAACAGAGAAAGCCCAGGTTTCCCCACTCACATAGGGGTACCCAGGCATTCAGACTCAGGGCTCATCTCTGCAAGCAGGAAACCCTATTTCCCTGGGCACACCGCTGCACTGCTAGGACTCCCCCATTTGCAGAAGCATGCCCAACATTTCATCCCATAGGATCCAATCGCTGCCACTACCGGCTCTTGACACTGCAGGATGGTGAGAATCTGTTCCACTCGCTCACAAGCAAGTCAGCTGTGCCAGGACACATCCCAACATCTGTTTACATGAGAGCACACATGGGGGCATTATGGCATGGGAGGCTATGCAGAGTGGGGAAGTTCCTATCCTCTGAACGCAGCACTGAAGATGTGAGTTTTGGAGAAAGATTTAAATCAAGACAAGTGGAAAGCTAATGAAACTGAGAATGTAGCAAGTCACTCTGTGTCAGGAGACTCCATGGAAAAGCCATCAAGATGGAAGTAGAAAGGGGAAAATAAAGTCAAGATGCTTTAACTGGAGAGGGAAAAGGATTTAAAGCATGCCATCACTTAAACAATATTAAGTATAACACACCCGGGTGAGGTTTTCCCATTTTTTTCCCTGTGAACACATACTAAGAGGTTGGAAGTGAGATCATACACAATGAGGTCAATGCCTCAGTGAGGTCCCTTTCGGAGAGAAGGCCATTGGCTCCATGCTTCCAGATGTGGAGCAGAATATCCACAGGATCCACAGTGCTTTCAAAATCATTGTTTGCTTTTATTATCATTGTTTTAGATAATTATTTTAGATGCCTAAATACGGACTCTGGAGTTTAACCCCAGGCTGCAAAATATAGAAAGCATTACTGCATGCCCAGGAAAAGACCAAGAATTGTCAGGAGATTCACAGTTATGGCTCCAAAAAAGCATCATCTGTTAAACAGGGCTTCTAAGCTGGTCCTTGAGGGAGACAAAAATGCTTCTTAGGTCAAAGACGTGTGCTCCTGCTGCCCACAAAGGAGAAAGTCACAGTATTGATGGCATCACAGGGAGATTTCCAGTGCAGTTGTGAGATTAGGCACATTGATTTAAACTGGTATCCAGGCACTGGGGATGACCTGGGACCACTAATCCCAGGCAAATCTGATATCTACCTATCTTCAACACATTGATGGTTGGCAAATGTCATTTCAACATAAAATGCAGGGCAAAGACCACATGCTCCTATGGGCTTGACTGGCATCTACTACAACAGAGCCCTGATCCTCACTGCACCAACACGGCATGACTATGAACAAGCAAGCAAGCAGTAATAATAGCACCAAAGCCCATTTCAGTGCAAAGGGAGGCAGTGAGGGAAGTGTGGCTCGCTCTGCCTGGTTGCACTTCTTCTCTGATACCCCGGCCACCTGGCCCCTCCATGTTTAGATCAGAGGGCGTTCTCATATCTAACCTCAATTTGCATACTTCACGCTCAAGTGACATCCCCCGTGCTGCTTAGAGCTGGTTTAAAACCTCCTGCATCTCTCATTGCAGCCTGCTGATCAGCTTTGGGCCTGTCACAGGTACAAAGATGATCTCGCAGGCTCCAGTCCCCTGGCTGTTACTGCTCTGCATCCACGGTAAGGAGCACACCAAGGGGGAACTGCATTAATTGTCAGGAAAGCTCCGTCTCAGAAAGAAGCTAAAGGCCTAGAGCCTCTGCCTGCCAAACCCTCAGGCTGCCTGTGCTTCCACTGGAGAGACAGATCTCCTTTCAGGTTTTGGGGTCTGATGCCAAGCCCATAGAGCTGGGTGGGAGTTTAGAAATTCCCTGAACAGTCACACAGCTGCCTACGTTAGAAGAGCCAGGTGAATGTACCCAGAACACTTTTTATGAAGACAAGTATTGCTAGGTTTAACAAAGTGCATAGAAAAATGCAACAGTATAAATACCCTCTGATTTTACCTTCAGGTTCAAGTGGGGACCACGTGATGACTCAGACTCCAGCAGGCTTGGCCGTGTCTCCTGGTGACAGTCACCATCAAATGCAAATGTAGCTCCAATCTTACTTACTCGGGCAGAGAATACTTATCCTGGTCCCAGCAGAAACCTGGACAAGCTCCTACACAACTCATCTATGATGGTGTCACCCGGAAACCCGGAGTCCCAGCCCGGTTCAGTGGCACTGGGACTGACACCGATTTCACTCTCACTGTCAGCAGCATTGAAGCCACAGATGCTGGAGATTATTACTGTCAGCAGTATTACAACTTCCCTCTCACAGTGCTACAACCCACAGTACAAAAACCTCCCTGTTCTCTTCAGACCAGCGTTGCAGGTGTTTCCTTAACAGTCACCTTCACGGTACATCTGCTACACAGAGGGGCATATTTTCTTCCTTGATCAAATGACTGTACAACATCAGCCTCTAAATATGACCCTTAGCAGATACCTCATCCACTCTCTCTTTCAGCAACAGAGAAGAAAACGGTTGGTGCAGTCAGCGACAGCACTGTGATTACGAGGACCAGACCAGCAAGACCCAAGTTCATCCTTTTAAGTTCGCTCCCTTTTTTGCCAGACAAATGACCCTTAGCCTTCTCTTTGATATGCTCAATAAATTGAGCTTTCCCTGTATGGCATGCTTTCCAATCTAGTAACCATATTCATGGCTCCACCCCAAGCCCGCTGTAATTTTGTGACTGCCTTCCCCAATTGCGGACATCAAAACTGCATGTGCAGTTTTCCAGTAGCCATTACTCCAGCATCAAACACAGGGGTCATTTCACTACCTGACTCCAGCTCAAGCTGCCCCCTTTATACAGTCAAAGAGTATAGTAGCCCTATAAGCCAGAGTAAAATCCAGAGTTTACTGTTAGGTCTTTAACCACCAGGCCTGCAGAAGGATACCCTACATACTGCTGGGCTTCTGCTTGAGCAGTGGTATTGCTTGTGTGTTCAATCAATTCAGATTTGAGACTGGAATGGGATCACTGATTGTTTCATTCCCTTCATGCCACCCCTTAATCAAAATTAAGTGCAACACACCCAGCTGAGGCTTTCCATTTTGCTCCTGGCAACACATACTAGGGGGTTGCGAGATCATACACGGCACTGCCTCAATGAGATCTCTTTCTGTGCAAGGACCATCCGCTCCACATCTGGAAGCACGGAGCTAAATTTCCACAGGATGCTCCATGCTTTCAAAATCAGGGTAATTATTTTTAGATGCCTAAATATGGACCTTGGGGTCTAACCCCAGGCTGGAAAGCTCAGAAACCATTACCGGATGCTCAGGAAAAGAGCAAGAATTGTCAGGAGAGTCACGCCTGTGTAGATGCTGACAGAGCTGGCTGGGGCACAAGACTGCTTCAGTGCAGGGACTGCCTGCCAGCTAGCCCCACACTGGAGCACCCTCATGCCCCAGCCAGCCCCTCCACAGCACATTGAGATGGGTAGAAGCAGCCCTGGACTGGCAAGCTGACCCCTGCCCCCCAGCCCACTGCCAGCCACAGTTGCTCTGACTCAGCCCAAAGTGCTGCAGTCCTCAGCACATGTGTAAACACAGTGCCCGGGAGCAATTAACTCCAGCGCAATATGCACCAGAGTGTATTGCTTCGCATTAATTGCACACGTCGATTCACTCAGAAGGGTACATTTTTGTCTTGCTCGTGCTAAGCCTCCCACAGGAGCCAGACTACTCTTTATCAGATGCTCCATCCTGGTTATTAGTTACCATTCCCCCATGGGTCATCTGAAGACTTTGGGGTAATGACTTGATATTTTCATTCATGGCAGATTTTGGGGTTTTGTTGGGTTTCTTTTTGTTTTTTGTTTTTGTTTTTTTGTTTTTTTTACAAGGACCACTCAAGTCCAGTAAGGACAGTACTGGCATCCAAGCAATAACAGAAAGGAAGACACTTACACACTCACTTTCACCTGAGACACGCATCAAAATGAGGAAGATTACAAATAAATAAATAAATAAATAAAAATCAGACAGCTTAACATTTATTTGCATCTTTCTGAATGTATTTTGGGATCAGTTTGCATAGTTCACACCAACTGACATCTTCCACTTCTGCAACAACAAGCACAGAGCTGCTCAGATGCATCAAGAAGACCTCATCATCTGCTCATATGTGCCAAAAGGATCTCTTACCTGTTCAGCTGCTCTGCCTTTTAGTGCTCTGGATCCAGGATAAGGAACAAACCAAGATAGCACTGGCTTGATTTAAAGTCAAATCATGTCCTAGGATTACATTTAAAAATATAAAATCATTACAAACAGTTCACAGAGCATGACACTAACTTCCCTGCATGCTTCCGATATTTCAAAAGCAGTTAGGTTCTGATCTAGCAAAAGACTGATTTAGTACACTGACTTTATGATCAAAACACTGTTAGCCCCAGTAACTTCACTGGGAATAATTGCAGCCTTGCCATTCAGAAACCAGTCCTCCTATATCTGAGATTATTAAGACGAGAGGTTTAGTGCACTCATAGCTGATTTCTCTTTTCCTGCTGCACTTAGTTATAGGTTGCATTTTATTCCTCATACTTCATTGATCACCAAGGGACAGCTCAGATGCAGCAGGTCAAATCTCATAGGCATAGCTCATCTGGCTGTTAACACTCGAGTCCAAGGTAAAACTTAAATGAGAACTGAATGCATTAAAAGGGATTTCTACTATTTAAAAACTCCTCCCCTGAGCTATAGCAAGAATCAAAACCACTTGGGGAACTCAGCACCTCTCACTAAAGTCCAACCTGCTCTAAGTCGTACTGCTGTAAGTGTAGAGCAGAAGCACCCAAACGTTTTGCCCTGTGGGCCAGATGGGCAGTGCCAGCTCCATCCACAGGCCAGATCCAGCTAACAGACCCAGTCTGGCCCATGGTCCAGGCATGGCAGAGGAGGCAATCCGATGCAGGGAGTGGGTGCAGCCATGGCCTGATCCAGCTACTTAGCAGTGCAGGCCCCAATCCCATTGCATAGCAATGGCCCAGACGTGATCCATCCCCATGGCAGCAACCTGGGCCGGATCCAACCACATAGGGCTTAGAAATTTACTGGAGGGAAACAATGGCAGTACTAGTTGCCACCACGCTCTACTGCCAAATTTCTCAACCTGTGGGGAGCCCCAAGGGCCAGATTTGGCCTGTGGGCCAGGGGTTGAGTGCCCTTGGTGCAGAGAGTTTCCCTTATAGTCATCCTGGCACATATCTAGAGTTCCTGAGGGCAGAAACCAGCCTAACTAAAAAAGGGTATTTTCTTTGAATGACTGAAAATAAACACACAGGAAGTCTCCACTCAGTTGAAAGAAAGAGCTCATGCCACATGTTGTTGCAAGGAGAAAACGGGTGCTGGCTAGTGTCAGTCTTGCACCAAACATGAACTGAAGCCATTTATTCCCAGTCACCTTTGACAAGTGCCATTTGAGCCCAATGCAAGGAGGATGCCTGGGGTTGAACTTGCCTCCTTCACTGGGCTCCTCCCCTCTTGTGCACACATGTACCGATGAGAAATTAATTGCCATCTCTAACCCAGATTTGCATGTTTTACATTCAAGTGGCATTTCTCTGCTGCTCTCAGCCATTATAAATTGCTGGTGTCATTTGCTTTGAGTGTGTAACCACACTGAGCCAGTCAAGATGATATCCCCAGCTCTGCTCCTCTGGCTGCTAGTGCTTATGATGAACTTATAGGCAGCCACAAGGTCGCCTCTCAACCTTCTCTTGCGGAGGCTGAAGAGGTCCAGGTGCCCTAGTCTCTCCTCGTAGGGCTTGGCCTGCAAGCCCTTAACCATACGGGTGGCCCTTCTCTGGACCCTCTCCAGGTTATCCACATCCCTCTTGAAGTGTGGCACCCAAAATTACATGCAGTATTCCAACTGTGGTCTGACCAGCGCCCAATAGAGGGGAAGTATCACCTCCTTGGTTCTGTTCGTCATGCATCTGCTGATGCATGATAAAGTGCCATTAGCTCTTCTGATGGCTTCGTCACACTGCCAACTCATGTTCATCTTGGAGTCCAGTAGGACTCCAAGATCCCTTTCCGCTTCTGTTCCACCCAGCAGGTCATTTCCTAGGCAGTAGGTATGCTGGACATTTTTCCTCCCTAGGTGCAGCACTTTGCATTTCTCCTTGTTGTATTCTGCTGTTTTCTGCCTGTCTCGGCCGGGTGGAGCCGACCAAGGGAAACGCTGGTTAATTAAGCGAACGTCAGGCGGGCTGGTGGATGGAGAGGCGAGACAGCGTATTGTTTTTTTAAAGGAGGCTTTACTTACACTGCCGATGGTCACAGTGCAGGGAGGAAACTTGCTTGAGTTGCAGTTGCAGACAAACAAACACAAGTGAGATCTCTTCCGAACCGCACTGAGATGAGTCGTCGATGTACGACTCCATGAATATTTCACACAGGGGATACGTCAAATTCACACTATGACAGGGAGTGGCTAGAAGCTGATCAGGCCCCTATATCCTCCTCCAAGACACACGTGGAGTTTGCTAGGCTCCACAGCACGCTTAGAGTTCTCCACAAGATGGTTGCGGAGTCCTCCCTTGAGGGGTTCTCCTCGGAGTTCTCCAACT